TAGAGGGGTCAGACCCATCAACTCAATGTCAGGGGCTGCTGTGCTCATTTCAAAGATGTAGTACCTGCAGTCCAGGGAGTACAGGACCGCCGCTCGGCCTCACACACTCAAGGGATGCTGGGCCACGCATGTAACTCCAAGGAAGGTAGGGGAGGGGCTCAGGCTTGAACCCAGTCTCTGAGTTCCTCTCTGAAGGCCTGGGTGACCCCATGCTACCAGAGATGGGTCATGGAGTCCAGCCTTGCCCTCTCTCCCCTCAATCCCTGTCCCATTCCTCACCTACTCCCAGGGCCCTGGCCAGTCCCTCCAGGGCCCACCCTCACCAGTCTTCTAGTCCTCTTGCTCCAAGTCAGTGCCAGCTCTCTCCAAACACAGGGAGTCATGTGGGTAGGGGGTCTGGATAGTATAGATCTGCAGGCTAAAGAGGTTCCCCAACCCACACTCTGGACACAAAATGGAAGTGGCCACCTGGAAAGGAAAGGTGGTCAACGCAATTTCTCATGCTTCTCAAAATTCTTCCAGCCTCTGCCCTTTCCAAACTCCAATTCTTTTATTCATTTTTTTTTCTTTTTGAGCTGGAGTCTTACTCTGTTGCCCAGGCTGGAGTGCAGTGGCACAGTCACGGTCACCCCAGTGTCGACCTGCTGGGCTCTGGCAATCCTTCTGCTTCAGCCTTCCAAGTAGCCAGAACTACAGGCATGCGCCACCACGCCCAGCTAATTTTTGGTTTATTGTAGAGACGAGGTCTCACCAAGTTGCCCAGGCTGGTCTCAAACCTGCGGGCTCAGGCAATCCACTCCCCTTGGCCTCCCAAAGTGCTGGGATTACAGACTGAGTCACCGAGCCCAGCCCCAAACTCCAATTCTATAGCCACTTCCACTTTAGGCATTTGTTACAGCAGCACTCGTCTCCAGGCACCATAATCTTTATTAGTTTCCTAGGGCTGCTGTGATCAATTTCCACAAATTTAGTGGCTTGAAACAACACAAATTAATATCTCATACCATTCTGGAGGTCAGAAGTCCAAAATCAGTTTCACTGGGCTTAAAATCAAGGTGTTGGCAGGATTGCATTCCTTCTTAAGGTCTCGGGGGAGAGAGGCTGTCTGCACTCCTTGGTGCGTGGCCCTTCCTCCAACAATTGCACCACTCTGATCTCTGCTTCCATTGTCACATCTTCTGTCTCTGATACTCCCGCCTCCCTCTTTATAAAGACCCTTGTGATTACATCAAGTTTATCTAATAATCCAGGATAACCTTTCCATCTCAAGATCCTTAGTCACATCTGCAAAGTCCCTTTTGCTGTGTAAGGTAACATGGTCACAGGTTTAGGTGATGAAGTTACTGGCATTTTAAAGGGCTGTTATTCTGCCTACTATAAGAGGGGTAGGGATGCTTTGCCAGTCCCAAGTCCAGTCTTGGGGGGCTTGTCTGGGGCAGAGGGTCATGGGGGGAATCAGGTTGATGTTCTAACCAACACTCTGGCCGGGGCCAAGAGCTCCAGGAAACCTGGTGTCTGTCCCTGCTGCCGCCAAGGACAGCCTGTTCTCCTGGCATGGCCGCTGTGCAGGATCAGGTGCACTTGAGCCCTTGAAGTGGCCACGGCTTAACTTGAAGAGCTGCCTGGCTCAGGCAGGAGGCCAGGCCTTCATGGCTTCCTCTCCCTGATGACTGGAATACGTGAGCCGTCAGGTCAGATATGGGCCACATGGGAAGTCCCAGCTCTATTCCAGAAAATGCAAAGTCAGCTTACTGATAGACATGTACTGAGCTTGAGTATGTCAGGCCCACAGGGGGCCTGAGAGAAGATGGGGATAGGAAGGTTTATGAAGGCATGGACAGAATGTCAGTGGTGCTGGCAGAGGTATGAACTAGGGGAGCTGGGGAGAACACAGAAGTCAGGACAGGTGTTCCAAAGGAGGTGGCGTTTGATGATTCAGACTGGCAATGGTGGGCAAGGGCATTGCCGACCGATGCACTGCCTGGGTGAAGGGAAGGTATGTCAGGGAGTGGAGAGTCTGACAGGGAGGCTGCACTCCATGGTAGCAGAAAAAAGAATCCAAAGGTGGATGGGGAAAGACACGCTGCCTTGCAGAGGTTAAAGGGGTTCCTTCCTCAAACCAGTCCTCAGACTTTGTCTGTAGTGGAACCCTTTGTTCTGATGGCCACTTACTCAGAGCACTGACAGGCCTTGGGAGGGGTCCCCAGGGCCTTTCCCACAGCTGTCCTCTCTCACCTCTTCAGAATTGGATTCTGTAGGACATAGCAACCACACTTAGGTCATGGGAAGCCAGCCAAGGATTTAGAACAGGGATTGGGAGCAGTTGGTGGCCCAGGGCACAGGTGGCTATGAGGGAGCAGAAGTGGTATATTTCTTGCAGTTAGGGATTTGGGAGCACATTTCAATAAAGCAGCTGGATGAGTCCCATGGAGAAACCCATGGGCAGCTGGGAAAAGCATCCAACTGTGAGACAAGGCTTCAGTTTCCCCAACTGTCAGAAGAGGAGATAGAATTACTCCCAGAGTGCATCAAAAAGAGACTCCTACACCCCTGCCCATGCTCTGGCTCTGGCTGAGAAAAGCTGAGTGGGCAGTAGACCCATCCCTCAAGACCTCAGCAGCCCACAGAGCCTGGACTCCACCATCAGCTCCATGTCCTTCTACTTCCCGCTCTGCCTGAAAGGGCTCCTTGACATGAGCCAGAGAAGGCAGCTACAGTCTCTGGCTCTGGCCTCAGCAGTGAGGGAGGATGAGCGTGGCTTTCCTTGAGCCACTGGCTGCCCTTGCCTGGGCCTCAGGGCACTCAGGCCCTGGTAAGGAGGGGCTGAGGGAAAATGCACACTGCCAGGCTACCAGCCTCTTGGCTTCACCTCCAGAGGGCAGAGAGGAGTCAAGAGCCCAAGACTGAAATCCTTGCCTCCCTCCTTTCCAGACTGCCCTGTGTCTTTGCCTGCCTTATGTTGAAGCCAAGCAGCAGACAGACACATGAGGGAACAGGGCCCTCCCTTCCTGCGTTTGCTCTCTGAGGCAGGCAATGAAAACACCCATGATGCACCAAGCAAGGCGCATTCCATGAGCTCCTCACAACCATCTTATAAAATAAAGCACTTGATTCCATTTCTCAGCCTTAGAAGCTAAGGCTGAGTGAGATAAAGTCATCTACTCAAGGTCATGTCCTGGTGAGGGGCAGACCCTGGGATCCAAACCTGGGCTGGTGTGGATCCAGCATCAAGGCTCAATGTCCAGGGCCCTATCAAGGCAGCAACTGCAGACTTGATGTCCTGCTTTGCCAGTCCCCTTGGCTTGGACCTTTTCCCCAACAGTCAAGCCCCACATTTTTCTGGGCAAGAGTTGTCCCCAAAGGTGGCTCTGTTCCAGTAGCCTCAGCTGCCCCTACTCTGTCACTCTCCAACATCACATTCTCTTGGGGTTCCATACCTATGTGCTCATCAAGACCCTTCCTCAGTAATCAGCCTGAGGCGAGGAGGGTGAGGCCATCAGGGAAACCAGCACTGGCTGAGGTATAGCCCAGGCTGTGGAACAAGGGGGCAACAGACTGCTGTGAGGTCAGGGTAGTTGCCCTGAGACGCTACTGAAGACAGCAAGAGGCAAAGGGCACAGGCGGGAGGAAAAAAAGGGCAATATTAGTGAGGACATTAGAGACAAAGGTCTGAGAGTACGGTGGGTGGAGGGAGGAGAAGGTATAGGTTAGGAAATGGGGAGCCTTGCTCTGGTTGGACCCCAACCTGCCCTCCCAGGTTCCTTCCAGAGAAGCCATGAGGGGAAGCCCCTGGCTCCTCCTCAAAGGAAGCTGGGGCAGGACACCAGGGCCCTGGGAGCTGCAGCATGGCCTCTGCCAAGGCAAATGCATCCCTAGCCACAGTGCAGGACAACTCTCAGGCCAGGTATGATTCTAGCAATGCAGACTCCCAAAGGCAGGGACCTAACTTACTGTTTCCACCTGGCCACTTCCTATCATGGGACTGCAGGCAGGCCACATCTTCTCTTGGTACTTTGGTGTCCCTGCTCAAAGAGTGGGCATTCAGATACCAGCATGCACACTCCACCTACCTAATAGTAAAGAGGCTGCTACTTTGTATTGGCCTTGGACTCAGAAGAGCCAGCTTCTCATAGGGAAAGGGGCTGCCCATGGTCCCATTGCAAGATACAGCCCTGGAACTCAGTTCTCTTGGCACCAGCAGAGGATGCTGCCCACCAGATCACACTGCCTCTGACCACTGCACCTCAGGTCAGGCCCTCAAAAGTGCTGGGACAGTAGGGGAAGCCTGGCGGGATGAGCCAGCCTTGTCTGCCATACTCCTGAGGACTCATCCTGATGCAGGCTCATATCAGCATCTGCCAGTCTAGAGGTTCCCTGTCAGTACTGACAGGAAGGTTGGATCTTCAGGCCTCATGGGGGCCACCAGTCTGCAGAAAAGAGAACTGGGATGGAGGTCATAATCTTGTGCCCACTATCTTGGCTTTTCACTCTCCACAGCCCCAACCAGGGACAGACAGGTTATCTGAAGCCCCAAGGTCAATTTGGAAGGAATGCTTTAGCTAAAATCTATGGGAATAAAAAGTAAGCAAAAGCCCTGCTCAAACCTCACTGGTTCAAGCTTTCAGTTGAATGAGAGTGGATATGCGAGCCCAGAACTGTGCAAGGACCCTCAGCCCCATCCCCTCCAGAAAGCAGGCAGCCATCCCCGAGCTGAAGCTCAGACAAGGCTCCTGTGCTCAGAGTCCAGGCCTGGTCCACAAAGGGCAGCAAGAGCACCCAGGAAAGTAGAGGACTAAGTCGACCCTCGGTGCAGGCTGCTCTATGTCAACCCTGTGGGATCCAAGGCCAGGAGTGAGCACCCATGTGTCTTCCTCCATGCTGCACCTACACCTCCCTACAAGGCAGGGGACTGCTGGCCAGAGAAGGAAACTCTCACCCCAGCACTACCTGGGAGTAAGGGGTCACAGGGCCCACAAATCATGAACAAAAACACGAGGCTACCATTTGTCAGTCTCAATATTTTACTGGCCATATCTCCCACCACCCCCACAGCAATTTCACTGACAGAGACACTGAACAGCCTGCCCTTGGCCACACTGATGTAGTGGAGCCAGATCAGGAACCTGGGTCTGTCCAGCTCCTGAGCCACACTGTAGTTGCTCTTTGTTGTTCCAGAGGACACACCCTTCCCTGTTTCTACTCCTAAGTGTCCTAGAAATGTAGAGCACTGGGGAAACCACGGAACCATGGGAAATGCTGTAAAGCACCTAGGTTCTAGAAAGTGCCATCCACTTCCCTGACCAGGCATCCACAGGGTAACCATGCTAAGGCCCAAATCTCTGGATATGCAGGAACCGGGACCTGAGGAGACAGGGATGAGAGGTTGTTTACTGTTTGGATCCCTGCAAATGGGCAGGGAGTGGGAACAGCACAGGCTTCCCATAGCTAGGGCTGTGGATGGCCTGAATGGAAAGACCAGCATGGCTATGGAGGACACTGGGGATAGAGCCTCACCTGCCACAGAAGTCCCTGCGCACAGCCACAAGACTGAGGTTCAGGTCAGGCCGGCTCTGAAGCCAGCTGCTGACAAGCTCTGGGTGCCTTGGGTCCACTTCCAAGAAGATACTTCTACATGGGGGAGAAATGGTTGGGCTCCACTGGGCAGGGCTGGGATCTGCACTTCTGGGCTGGCAGGGGTGGGTGCAGAATGGCTGCCAAGGCATGCACGGTCCACACTGGGAGCAGAGGAGGTTTTTGGGGACAGACTCAGGAGATCCATTGCATTCATACCCAGAGTCCTTCAGAAGCTGGGGTGCCAGAGCCAGGATGTGGATAATGATGTCCATGCCCTCCTCCCCACCGTCCAGGGCTGCTGGGTCTTCATAGCTGCAAGGGAAAACAGTTGGAGGCTGGAGCCTGAGGGAGGGGTGTCTGAAAAGTATGGAGGCTGGGCAGGGCTTCCACAAAGGAACTTACACTCTGGACTGAGAGGCAAGTCTGAGGACCCAGAGAAGGTGGCCTCCAAATGGATGTCAGCTCCTACTACCCTCCCTCCTGTGGGCAGCACTCCACTATGCAGTGCCAGGTGTGCTTGCTGATCCCACTGACAGCCCCCAGGGCATGAGTGTCTCCCCACAAGGCATCTCCTGTTCTTGGTACAGGAGGCCTGGGGCCAGCCCTGACTACTCCTGAGAGCCCAGAAAGGGGGAGGCCACACTACTGCTGTTCCATTCAGAGGTTCCTGGGCTACCCTCAGTTCTCAGCCCTGATATAAGAGCAAGATGGCTTGATGCAAAGCCTGGAGCAGGTTTTAGTCCCAGCTTTCCCACCAAGCCCCCATGAGACCTTGGAGAGACACCTTCCCTCTCTGGGCCTCAGTCTTCTGGGGTTTTTTTTTGTTTTTGTTTTTAAGTTGGAGTCTCACTCCATCGCCCAGGCTGGAGTGCAGTGACATGCTCATGGCCACCCCAGCGTCAACCTGCTGGGCTCCAGCAATCCTTCTGCCTCTGCCTTCCAAGTAGCTGGAACCACAGGCATGTGCTACCGTGCCCGGTTAATTTTTTATTTATTGTACAGATGAGGTCTTGCCAAGTTACCTGGGCTGGTCTTGAACCTGCAGGCTCAGGCAATCTACTTGCCTCAGACTCCCAAAGTGCTGGGATTACAGGCTGAGACACCAAGTCTGGTCGCAGTCTTCTGTAAAATGATGCCCCCATCTACTGAGCACTTCCTATAAGCCCTCCACTGTGTCTAATGCTTTCCAGTTATCACTGAGTCCTCCCCATGGTCCTGCAAAACACTACCTCTTTCCTTTCAGAGGCAGGAAATGGAGGCTCAGAGAGGCTGTGGCCATCCAGTGGTCTTAAGTGGGAAGGCAGAAACTGAACCCAGATAGGACTGTGGGTTACAGAGTGTGATGTCTCAAACCACTGCCTGTTTCAGCACTTTTCCCTGCCCCTCCAGATGGTGTGGTCTTCACAGGCAGACCAATCACACTAGGCCTTCTCAGGCCTGGCATCCCTGTCCCACCCTGCCCAGCACCTGCAGATCTCAGGGGCTAGCTGCTCCATGTCCTGGTGGAAGATGTAGGGAGGGTTGCTGATGACCAGGTCCATGGGGCCCCAGGATAGAAGGTGTGTCCAGCTCCTTTCTGTGGTCAGAGAAGTGGACACATAGCAGGGATTAGCCCACTGGGAGACAAAGGGTGGTAGCTTCACTCGCCACTATGTCTCTTTGGTAGCCCCACCCACCATATCATACCTCAGGCCTATCTCTGGTCCTGATAAGTCAGACATGCAAATTAGTGCCCAAGGTCCCCAGTTGGTAGTCTGGCCAGGAGTATGCATGTTCTGACAAGGCAGCCCTCACCAAGAATGTCCTTGCCCCTTCTTTTTCCAGTCAAAAACCTCCTGGTTAAGCAAGACTCAGTTCAAGTACCACCCACTCCAGGAAGCTCTCCTGGAGCCTTTCTCCTCTGCAGCTCCACTGGCCTTGCCACACTCTGCCTTATAACCAACATGAACTGAGAGTATCTAGAGGGCAGGCCTGACTCAGTCAGCCAATTCTTGGTTCTGATGGCTCTGATTATTGGTTCCACCCCTTGCCACAGTTCACGGAGGGGGCACACGAGGCTCAAGGATCTCACAGGTAAGGTGATGAAGCCAGAACTGGAGCTGGAAACCCAAGGACACTGTAAAGGCCATGGCTGAGCTGTGCAGTGCCGGGGTCCTTTCTCCCCAGGCCAGGTGGGGGCAGTGAGGGTACTCCACTAGAGTATTTTGGTCCTAAAGGTTTCCTTTTAAGCTTTTGCTTACCTCTTGCCAAAAAGTAAGCCCTTAACTCGTTAGTTTTGGTGCATTCAAAAAATGCTTATGGCAGGTCCCCTCATAGGTCAGGTCAGTCCAGGAGGCAACAGCAACTTGTCCATTCTCAGCAAGGACTAGTCTGAGATGCCGTGTGAAAATGTGTATGACTGTTGGGGAAACCCTCCCTCCATCTCTTCAGAGTGCCTCATCCACCCAGCAGCACCTGTATCCAGGAACCCCACCTCAGGGAAGATAGGGGGAGGGTACCTAAGGTCACATCAATGTGGACGATCCAAATCCTGTCCTGCAACCGAAGCCTGAAGAGATGGGGGAAGTAAGAGTGAACATGGGGGCACACCTCCTAACCCTGGCTACAGGAATGGGGAGGAATAGTGAACTCTTCTCAGACCAGTAAGATACCCAGTGCCCACTGTCCATTTCGAACCCTGGACCTGTACTAGGCGGCCCCCATTGCCACCCTCTTCTTGGAAGTGGAAATCAGACATTAGTGGGTTTGATACCTGAACAGGGTCAAGATCAGGCCCCAAGTCCAACTTCTCACCTACCTCTGAGCATTCTCACGAGTCAGAGAGATGGCGGCCTCCCCCTTATCCACAGCAATGACTCGGCTCTGCCTCAAGGACAAACAAGGGTTATGTGGAAGGCAGAGCGTTAGGAGATGCCAGGCCTGGGGGCCCTCTTCCAACCCCCACTAGAAGAGACAGGAAATATCCAACAGTTTCCTCTTCTCTATGTCCAGACAGATGTGGATAGGAGACAATCTGTGACCACAGTGGACTAGGAGCAGCCCTGTCCTCCCTTGTCTGGTCGCTTCCCCTCATGTGCTCCTAGCAGAGGGATATGGAAAGGACCAATGGAAGGGGCAGGGAGTGTCAGTCAGTCTACCCAGAGTGAGGTGGAGGGGGCTCACCTGGGGAAGCTCACTCAGCAGGCTGAGGGCAATGGCTCCTGATCCACAGCCTACCTCCAGAATGAGAGGGCCACCGCGTGCTCCCACCACATGTGACCGCTGGGCCACCTCCTCCAGCACCCATTCAACCAGCTCCTGTGAGGCAGAGAGGTCTGGATAAGAGTTGAGGCCAACCTGGCCCCTGGGGTTCTTGGCACAGTGGCCCAAGAAGTTATCCCTTATGTGAATGTAAAAAGGGGAGGTGGCCAAATCCAGACTAACCTTCATGTCAGCTGGGGCTATGAGCAGACGACCCATCCCCTCCATGCCTCAGTTACCCCATCTGTTGAGAATAACCTGTCTTGAGGGGATGTGGTGTGAATTAAATGTACAGACCCCATACACCTGTTGCCTGGTAAGAGCTCAGTAAACCCCAGCTAAGCCCTTTACAGATATCCTCCCATTTTGTGCCTACAGAAATGCTAAGAATCATACCTGATAGCCCCTGGCCAGTTCCTCTGTGCCTGGCTCTGTTCCCAGAGGTTTCCCTGTATCAGTCTGTTAGATCTTCACAACTGACCCATGAGGACACTGAGGCCTGGGGTCAAGGCCCCAACTGGAGCTTGAGAGGCCTCCAAGGAAGCTTCTAGGTCAAGGGGACAGGGATTTCACTCCTTAGGAGAGGTAGGGTAGGGAGAACACAGTCCTGCCTAAATCTGAAGGGGGCTGGTGGCATAAACAGAGCATGGGGTAAATGAGTACAGTGGGAGGTGCCTGACTGCACTGTACCCACCTTGGTGGCAGGGGGACACTTTCTGACATTGGCCCTCTGGAAGAAAAGAGGGTTTTGAGTCTCATCTGCTGCCTGCAGGGACCGTGTATGGAAGCTAACAAAGGGTAGGGTAAAGAGAAGAGGGCTGCTGCTGTCCAGTGACCTAAATGTTTCTAACCAGCAGTAGGGCATAGGACTGGAGTAATCAGATGTGGCACAGAAAAGTACAGTGTGGCCCCTTCTCAAAGCCATCCCTGGAAGTGGGCAGAGGGCACACCCAGACATTCAGGATTCAGGATCCCAGCTCCCAGGCAGGACTGGCTCAAGGAATTAGGGAGGAGCAGCAAATGGGTGTGTCTCTTGTCTGAAAAGAGACTGACCTTCCCCAGAAAGTTTCCTCAAGTCGAAGCCAAGCTTACTCTTCCACAGCTTTCACCATCCCAAGCCTAAGGTTTAGGATGGGGTTTGTCTCTCCCACCAGGCTCCATGATGGGAAGATCTGGGTCTGACCCATCGCAGTTTGCCCCATGCCAGTTTGGTCCACAGATGGACCTCTTGGCTACTTTCCAAGTGCTAGGCAAGCTCTCTGTAGCTCAGGGAAGCCAGCCCCTAGTCTCATACCCCCAAGTCACCCCAAAACCCCAATGCCATCAGCCAAGTCCAATGGAGCAGAGGGCTCCAGATCACTCAGTCCCATGTTCCACATATGCTCCCCAGTGCTGAGTTCCAGAAAGCATCCCACCCTTCCAGGCCCCCCAACTCCAGTAACAAAGTTCACCTGTGATTGACTTGGAGGAAGCAATGCCCCCTCCCTGGGACTGCCCAGAGACGCCATCCTAATAGAGAGTGCTCATGGCTCAGGTCCTGCTGAGGCCCTGCACCAGTCTCTTGAGGTGTGGGGTCCATGTTGGGACAGTGGTTCCAGGAAGAGCCAATAACTGCCTGCCCCCCGGCTTGGGTAGGAAGTCCAAGGCTGGCAGAACTTGGACCAACCTTCCCTATTCCAAGCCCCTTCTACGCAAAATAAGCCATTGCCTGTGGGTGAGGGAGCCCAACTTCAGCAGTAGAAGGTTTCCATTCACTTGCTCCTACCAGCCATATGCCAGGCACTGCTGGAGACCACTGGGGGACTTGTAGCAAGCTAGGCCCAAGGTTGAGACTGGTACAGAGTGAACATTGCTGGGCTGTGGCTGAGAGCCTGTGGTCTCAGTGGTGAGGCCACATGCTGAGAGGCTGGTAGGGTGACCAGGGCTTGTCAGGGGTGTGAGCCTCTCTTGGTTTCCTGGCCACAGATAGACCTACTCTGGCTGGACAATGACCCCCTCGGCCAGCCACACTGGCCAGCCACCTCACAGACACCTATGACCTCAGAGACACATGCCACACATGTAAATGGCCACCCTGGGCAGGGCAGGTGAGAAGCTGAGAGATTAAGCCCCTGCCACCACCAGTGGCCTGTTGCTATTCCAATCCAGACCACATGGGCCTCACCTCAGGCACAGAACCACCTGGGAGGCAGTGGTGGAGACCACCCCAAGAAGTCCAGAAGTTTTCTCCTCCCCACCCAGTGAAAAACCTCCCTCAGCCTGATGCTGGTGGTTCTTCAGGGGAGACTGAAAGGCAAGCTGGCCACAGGTTCAGGGCATATCCTCCAGGTGAACATGGGAAGAATTCAAGAACAAGGTGGGGTGGAAGGGCAGGAACATGTGGGAAGAAGGTGAGAGGCAGGCAGTTATTGGCTCTGCCTGGAGCCACTACCCCAACATGGACTCCACACCCCCTCAAGAGACTGGCACAGGGCCTCAGCAGGACCTGAGTGCCACGAGCACCCTCTAGTAAGATGGCATCTCTGGGCAGCCCTAGAGAGGTGGCATTGCCTCCTCCAAGTCAACCACAAAGCACTGAGTCTCCAACATCCCACAGTCTCACCACACCAGGCTGGGCAGTGGAGTTTCCTACTGTACACACCGCCAGGATGAGGACTGAGCCACCTTCTCACCCCCAGGGAAAACCCAACTCACTGGATCACATGCTGCCTGCAAGTTTGCACTTCAGGCTCCCCTATCATCAAAAACCATCCTTCAATAGATGGAAAGAATGAAGGCACCACGATTCCTCCTCTGTACCCATTCCCCTACTCCTTGCCACAGGCCACGTCCTCTTGAGTTCTTGGTAAGGCATCCCCCGATGTGGCTTCACATTGGGGTGAGCCTGGTGAGTTCTCAGAAATGTCTGTACAGTGAGGTGAGGACCTGGCCTCCCAACCACAGCGTCCCCCACCTCTCCCACCCTTTGCAGAGGAGCTGCTCTCCTGGCCTAGATACACCCAGGAACCGAGAGCCCACATGGGAGCCAGAAGTCCACACTCAACACTCAGAATCCTAGCTAGGTCAGCTCTGAGAGAACTCAAAGGTCATGCCTGTCCATGTCCTGTCCCTGAGGAGCAGCCACAGAAGATGGCAAATAACCTCCTGGTTGAGGTCACGTTTGGGGGAGCCACAGGATGGTCTCTCAGAAGCCTGTAGGTAGCAGGCCACATCTTGTTCTGGGTCTCTGCACTCCATCCCAGGTCATGCCAATCCCAGATGGCTAGATGGGGCAGCCCCATATGAGGTGTGGGGCTATGATCTGGGAGCCAGGAAGTCCAAGTGCTACCCCCATGCAGCCCTGTAACTGGACAGCCCTGTGACTTCAGCAAGGCCTCAGATTCTCTACTGGCCCTGCCTTGATGCTGGACAGTGAAGCAAGAACCTGGCCTCCCAACCACACGATGTGGGGCTGAGAGAGGTCAAAGGGTTTCCTGGTTAAGGACAGAAGCTGCGAAAGTGAGGAGGGCTCCAGGCTGCTGGCTGGGGCAGATGGACAGGGCCTAACTTTTTCCAGGAATGTTTGTGCCTGGGTGTCTTTCTGGAAACATTCCTTCTCAGAACCTGGTGCCCTCTGGCTTGCCTACCACCTCCCACTCAACTCTACCTACAGGTCTGTTCTCTCTGGCTCCCAGTTCTGCCATCTACAAGGCCAGGGGAAAGTCCAAGAAGGGCCATAGAAAGCATAATTCCTAGGATCATGGTATCTCACCAAGGGACAGCACGGTGGGGCCACACATCTTTAGTCCTAGTAATTTGAAGGCCTGACACAGGTGATTATCTGACCAGACGGTGGAACTAAGAGGACCATCAAATCACAGATTCCCTAGATTCTCATCATCTGGCCCAGTAGGAATGTTGACCTGCCCAAAGTCACACAGCTGATGCCAGGTCTCCAGGTGTCCAGCTGGAGCCCTCTCTGCTTCCTCCATGCTTCCTGAGAAGCTGCTGGAGAGCATTTGTTCACTGTGGATTGGGTGGGCCATGAGCCCACAGGACAGCTCCTAGGGAAATGGCAGGAGGAATACTTGGGCAGCACTAGTTGAGGCATTCTGGGCCACTGCCATTTCTGGAAGCTGAGGTGGTGACTTAGGGCATGAAGGCAGTCAAGAGGGACAACAGGATTCCTCTGTCCTCTTGGGACCACCAGCCAGGAGATGCATATCTAGAAGGGCACGGCTCTATGAATAGCAGTCATGGAGTTCTAGTGCCCCCTGGAGGAATTCTGGGGCAAGACAGGTGCCCTGAACCCCACACTCATCCCCATTCTGCCCTGGTAGCACACGCACCTCTGTCTCTGGCCGAGGAATGAACACCGGAGGCACCATTTTCAGACTGAGTCCGTGAAAGTCCCACTCCCCAAGAATGTACTGCACAGGCATCCTGCAGAGGGGAAAGCCAGGAGGTCATCAGTGCCAGAGCCAAGACCAATAGGACCATGGCTGAGTTGAGAGATATCACTTGTGGCCAAAGGTATCAGGCAAGACTATGTCTCCTGTGCCCTGGAACTCCTAGGGTAAAGCTTTCCCTTCCTCCCTCCTTTCTATTTACAACCCTGGTCCCCCTCCTGCCACTCCCTCAACCTAACACCTTCCTAGTCCTTGGACATTTTCCTCTTCCCTGAACTTGCTGGGGATGAAGGAGGCTGAACCACTGCTCCCCAAACAGGACCCGCAGGTATGACCCATGGGTGCTTACCTCTGTAATCGGCGACTACTCAGCTCCTGGATGCACTGTAGTTGCTGAGGGGTCAAAGGCTGGGTTCGAAGTATTGGCCTCAGGCTCTGAAACTGTCCTCACAGAGAATGTGAGTGGCTGGCTCACCTGGCCCAGAGGTCCCAACCCAGGTCTATTATGTGGACAATGCCTGTCCAGCACTGGTCTGGGCCTTCTCATCATCTGGGCCCAGAGGGGACAGTGTCCTGCCCAAGGTTACACAGCTCAGACCAGGCCTCTAGGTATCTATCCCTGAACCTGGCACACACTGTAATTGATTGTTGGATGAATGAATAAATATCTGCCTAAGACATCAGAAAAATCCCATCCGTCTCAGCTAAGCACTCTTGGTGAGCAGAAAATCCTGGATGTATCTTCCCAGGGTCCCCCCACTCCCTCTTCCTGCCCTCTTGACAACACTGAACTTAACTGTTTTGGCTCCAAGGACATGAGCCACGATGTACTCACTGGATACCCGGGCCTCAGGGATACCTCTCTTCTCAAAGACTCCTGTCCAGTGGCTGACCAGTTCTGTGGCACTCGACAGTCCAGCCAGAGGTCGATGGGGTTGCCATGAGCTGGAGATCCAGCCCGGGATGCCTGCCCTTCTCCCTGGGCCAGTCAGGAGGGCCCACAGCAATCGGCCCCAAAGCTCCATATCTCAGGGAAAGGCTCTCCAGAGCACTCCCAAAATGCCAAGTCGCTCTTATATCATCTGCTGAGGTGGTAGCTGAGACTCCCTGGTACCAGCTGAGTAGAGATGGAGAGGTCACAGGCTCTGGCTCCCCAAAATGGCTCTGATCCTCAGACGTGGTTGCCACCCTGCGGCAGGGGAAGAGGGGAAACCAGATGAGCAGTTGAGCCTTGTGTACCATCTCCCCTTCCACCAACCTGCTGCCCGAGAAAGGGCATGCTCTTGCTCTATCACCCCCTTGACTCCATTTAGACCCACCTATTTGAATCTTCTTGTCTTGAGCAGTTAGGGTTTATTCACTTCACACTTTTAGCTGAAGTAGGCTAAACTTGTAGCTCAGTCCCTGCTAATAAATAGGCTGGTGGCAGGTCAGGGCACAGGTTTGAGACTATAAGAGATCTGTGTCTGATCCGGCATGCCTGACCTTGGGCAAATCATTATTTCTGAATTTCAGTTTCCTCATCCATAAAATGGGGAAATCACATCCACCCCACGACAAGCAGTGCATCAATCAATGGAATATCAAGGGCATTGGAGCAACTCAACAGTCAGCAGGGACGCTGTTACATGCTCTCAACTAATGTTACAAGGGACAGGAGACTGCCTTTGCCTGGGAGTTTTACTTCTAACATTTGCATGCTCTGTCATTGATTTGTATGCTGAAACTTTCCCCCTAATTTAACATGTAATTCCAGCTGTCACCAGTTAAAAAACTGACGATTTTACATTTAAACTGTCACAAACAAGTTTAATTGAAGGTTTAAAATAAGTGGTCCCTTTACATGCAGACTAAGGTCCAAAGCAGCATTTATCTAGCACCCGCTAAGTGCCACATTTTCAGAGGCAGCAGGTTTCCAGAAAGGAAGCGACTAGCCCAAGCGGCCACCCAGGTAGAAACTGTCCCAGGCAAGACACGAACCCGGGTCCGCCTGACTCCAGGGGCGGCTCAGTGCACCTGTGCGCCGTCCCAGGAGGAGCCAAGGCCCGGAGTCTGGAAAGCAAACTCCCTCCGAGCTACTCACAGCACCGTCAAAGACACAGGCCAGATCCCCTTCCTCCGAGTCTGTTCCCACCTGCACTACACGGGATGGAACCGACCAGGTCTCCAGGGTGATACAGTCCAGACTCTCCCACCCGACCCCCACCTCTCGTGCATACCCCCCTAAATGACCGTCACCTGCCACCTGCCACCAGGCTAGAGAAGTGATTCCGGGATTGATTGCCGGACGTGCGTAGACCCGCGGTGGGCTCCCACGGATGCCCCGCTTCCGGAGTCGGAGCATCTGAGAAAAGGCTCGGGCGCACTCTGTCTCCCGGTTTCAGGGTTCCTGATGCTGTTGGGTTTCTCCTGAGAGACCCCTAAGGGTGACTGGGGAGGCTGTGAAATCTACGCCCACATGCAGGAAAGTGCGGTGTTATGTGTGGAGTTGCACCCTGGGGGTCCAGACCTTAAGGATCTTCCTTAAGGTCCCGGCTGGGACACGGCTTCTGCCTACAGTGATTGCTCCGAGCTGGCGTTTAGAGAGAGACCTAGCTGCGGCGGTGTGTGGGCGGAGCGAAATAGCCTACACAAACCGAGGCGTGCCACCAGCCTCCCTCGGATTAGAGCGCGGAGGTCCAAGGTCCGGCGGCCGTGTGATCTACCTTAGCCTGTGGGCCTGGTTACGCAGCGTGTGGGCGGGTTCCAGTATTGGAGGCGGGTATCAACTTGCTGCGCGGGACCGGGTGTCCTGGACCCCGCCGAGGGTAGGGGGCCTGAGCCCAACTGGGGACCGGTGGCAACCAGACCCCAGGGCAGCTCTTTTACCCTCTCTCTCCCATTTGGGATTCGCAACAGGAAGCCAGATACCTGAATTCAAAATCTGACTCTATTGGCAACTCATCAGGAGGTTTTGTCTATGTGTCTAGGTTCCTCTGGGCCTCAGTGGCTCCTTCTATAAAGTTCAAGGCAGTGTCTCCCAAAGTGTGGCTTATCGGTACCTCCACCCGAATTTACTGTCAACTAAACTACTATTAAACATGCTGTTTCCTGGACTCCGTCCCAGACCAGGGAGCCACGGAGATCTATCTGCATTTGTACCAAGCTACCCCGTGATCTCCATAAGCTCCTTTAAAAACTTGAGGATTATAGGGTATCTGAGGGCTCCTCCCCTGAGACGATCACACCATGGATGGAAGCTATTGTGAGACGTGTAGGCTATATGTACACTTGAATGGGTCCGGGTGTCCAATAATAACCCCCCCCCCCCGATAATAATACCACCCCACTCCCAACTTCTCTGGACTGAAGAGTACCCATTGCTAGCGACGTTTGGAGTCATTTATCAAGAGTCCTCACCCACCAGAGGGCCCATCTGAGTAGAAGCCAATGCCCAGGGAGAGGAAGCAGCTTTGTGAGGAAGGTCACAAAGTCAATAGGCTATCGAGACAGAGTTCAACGCAGGCCCAATGACTCCCAGTCCAGTGCTCTCTCCAAGCCTCCTGTGTATGCTCGAATCTTGGAGGCGTGAGTCTGTCCTGGAGTGGATCGAGCCCAGGTTGACCCCAGTCCTGAGTTCTGGCCCAGGAAGGGCCTGGTCACCCACGCTCCCCCGCCCAACTTCAGCCATAGCGGGTGAGGGGTCGTCTCGGAGAACTGCGACCCGGCTCCCGGCTCCCGCTGGGGGCGGAGCCAAATCCGAGCGACAGGCGAACGGGCCAGTGCTGGGCGGCCTCTAGGCCTGCCAGCCAATCGGAGGCCGGGGGCACGGAGTGGGCAGGGAGGCAAAGCACTGTAGCTCCCGGGATCCCCTGAGGCGCTCGGCCCGGCCCCACCCCCGCCGTGGATCCGGTCCTGCCCACCCCAGCCCGGACTGGCAGAGCCGGCGCTCTCGGCTGCCGGCGGCGCGCGGTAGCTGACCCGGTCCGCAGGTCCGAGCGTGCAGGGAGCGCGGACCTCGAGTCGGATCCGCGGCACCCCACGCCGGGCGTGGGGGTTGCCCCCGCCCCGGCCTCCAGCTCGTCGCCTCCACCCCTAGCCTCTCCAACCGAGCTCGGCGCCCCGGAGAGGATTAAGTAAGTGCTGAGGTCGCAGTTCCCGTGCAAGAAGGGAGGAATCACAGCGTCGCGGAGGCGGGCATGGGGATTGGGGCAGGGAGGACTGAGGGACCTGGTGGAGAACCACAAGCGGGTTCTCGAAGGTCGTAGTGTCGACCCCTTTCACCCCGATTTCCTTCCCTTACTCTTTAACCCCGACAGGCCTGGAAAGTGGTGAGTAGGGCCCCTTGTCTCCTTTGGGAGGAGGAATAAACAGCGCCCCAGAGCAAAAGTTAAGGGTCTGGCCCAAGGTCACACCTGGGATCAGTGGCAGAACCAAGGAAATAACCCGGCACTCCTGATGTGCCCAGCCTAGCTGGAGGTAGAAGGCAAAGAGGGACGAGCCTCTTCTACCCCATGTCCCTCTGCTAGACTTGCCCCCTCCTAAGGGGCCATCAGAGGTATGTGCACACCTCACACCCATGCATCTGCACAGAGAGACACCCTACTTATACCTATGAGCCAGCACAGTCAGGTGTGGGTGCAGCTATGAGCTATGGATCCCTTCTCTCCCTAGGTCTATCCATCTGCATCTTAGCTAGGACCTCTTCTTACCCTACCTTACCTAGGGCCCTCTGGGCGGGCAAATTTCCCACCCTCTGCTCCCAGGGGAGTCAGAAAGGGGAGGAGAAACACCCAAAGTGGGAGCTCCATCCCTGCCTCTGAAGATATGTGCCCCTTATCTTTCTTCTTGACCCTAGCAACTCCAGCTCCTCCTTTGGGGGTGGGGTGGGAGTGCCAATACCCCCAAGAACCTGCACAGAAGCCCTGCCAGAGGACAGAGCCTCTCTTTCCTGTCTTCTGGTCTTTCCACATCAGTCTCCATCCACACTCCAAACATAGCTTGGACCACACAGCAGATTGGGTCTAGGGGCTCCTGTAACTCCCCTTTCCTGACAGGGTTGGCCAACAGGGGAAGATCTAGCAATTATTGAGGGCTTACTGTGGACAGGGCTTGTGCTAAGCTAAGACTTTTCTAGGGAACAACATATTACTGACATTTCAGTAACCCTGTGATCCTGTGGGGACGTTCTTAATATTTCCACCTTAGACTCAAGAAAACTGAGACACAGAGAGGTGGAGTGACTTCCCTGGTCATCCAGTTAGGTGGCTGAGCCGAGAGCAAGTGTTTCTCTCCAGGAAAGGAGAGGGCTACGGTATTATTTTCCCCCCAAGTAGGAAGAAAGATGTGGAGGCAGGGCATAAAGAGGTGGGGGGTGTGGGAAGTATGGGGTAAAAGGGGTTATTGCTGTGGGAAAGGACTTTTTCTTTCAAACCTCCCCACTGCCTTTCATATCTTCTGGGTATAATCGCCATGATAATCTTACCCACAAACAGAACGGAACCATAGATATACAAGGAGGGACCCCCCCAAAAAAACCCCAGAATTATCTTTTGAAGGACTGGCCCCTTGTAGTAAGGCTTTCCTCACAAGGTAAGTGTTCTAGGAACTCATCAGTATTAGCTAGCATTGTTGTGAGAGGCTGCGTTCAGCTTCAATGAATTATTCTTTAGAGATTCTTTCAATGTGTTTGCCCACTTAACGATGGGTGATTTATGAATGTACCTGCCCACACCACGCTGAGTGATTAGCAGTTTTTGACCCCAAAAATTGCATGACCCCAATGTCCCACCCTCCCTATTTACCCATTCTCTCCCCAAGTGACTTCTATTTACTTCCTTGGATGTAAAAAAGTCCTCAAAGGGAAATGTTTTGCTGATGTGAAAGAGGCGAAACAAAAAAATGGCAGAAGCTGGGCTCAGTGGCTCAGCCTGTAATCCCGCACTTTGGGAGGCTGAGGTGAGGGGATT